AGCCGCTAAGACGCCCGGTATGTGCAAGTCCCAATCGGTCTGCTTTTCACTCACCGTGTGACAAAGCATAGCCGAAAGGGTGCGGTTAAATCGTTCCACCATGCCGTCCGTTTGTGGATGGTAAGGGGAAGTGCGGATTTTCTTTGTGCCCAGCTTATCGCAAACATCCTTGAGCAATTTGGAGGAGAAGTTACGTCCCTGATCTGTGAGCAGCCTCTCGGGTGCTCCTTTATCCATGACATAACCATTCACGAAAGCATCGGTAATGGACGCGGCCGTCTGGTCAGGCAGAGACCAGGCCATAGGCCATCGAGAAAAATATTCTACTCCGACAAGAAGGTATTTGTTGCCCCTAGCCGATGGAGGGAACGGCCCGAGGATGTCCAGAGCAACTAATTCATTTATACAGGATACCTCAATGGAACGTAATGGCGACACATAATGTTTTCGAGGCGGTTTCCTTTTCGCACAATCATGGCAAGACTGGACAAAGTCCTTGACGTCTGCCGTCATGCCGGGCCAAAAGAAATCCTTCTGCATTGCGGCCAAAGTCTTTTGCACGCCGAGGTGCATTAATTTGTCAGCGTGCAGAGCGTGAAGCAGGTCATGGCAAAAGGATGTAGGCACGACCAGGCGTGGTCGGTCAGACAATCCATCGGTACACATTAATAGTCCCGCCTGGCCCCGGAACATCCGCCACTTCCATCCCGCCAAATGAGCTCTCGGTTTCCCGATCAATTTCCGCAGCGGAGCCAGAGAGGTATCGGCCTCCTACTCGCGTAGCCAAACCGAGTGCAGCAGCCGCAGGGTATCATCAGTATCCACTGGCACATCCTGGCCGTCCTCGTTCGACATTGCCCCCATAACCGGACAGGGCGAGGTAAGCGGCACTCCGCAGCGGTGCATACCCATCAGACAAGTGCACGGGAGAATGGGTGGTAACCTGGAGAGCACGTCCGCGTTGGCGTGGCGAGCACCCTTGCGGTACGTGCTATCGAAGGAAAATTCCTGTAACGATTCCAACCACCGAGCCAATTGGCCTGATGGTTGGTCCAATTTCAACGAGTATTGCAAAGCCGCATGATCAGTGCGAATGAGGAATTTCCTTCCATACAGGTATGGCCGGTACAGGCGAACAAAATGCACAATCGCCAAAAGTTCCCATCCTGTCACGCAATATCGTGTTTCTGCCGGGGACAGAACCCTGCTGCCGTATGCAACCACTCGTTCCACTCCGTCTTTACGTTGCGATAAAACGGCCCCGATGCCAATATCGCTAGCATCCGTGTCAAGGATGAACGGCTAGGAAAAGTCTGGGTAGTAGAGCGTAGGCGCCATGGCGAGGTGATCCCGGAGCGAGTGAAAAGAGCGTTCCTCCTCCGGACCCCATTTAAACCTCTGATTTTTGCCCGTCAGAATATGCAGTGGTTTAACCAGTGTGGCAAAGTTCTTAACAAACCGGCGATAGTAGAATGCAAATCCAATAAAGCGCCGAACGTCGCCCACTGAAGTGGGTGTAGGCCACTCCCGGACACATCACGTTTTCTGAGGGTCAGTGGACACGCCGTCCAAACTGACGATATGACCCAAGTAACGGACGGAGTGTTACAAAAGGTGGCATTTACTGGGTTTAAACTTTAGATCAGCCGACCGCATCCTCTGAAAGACAGTCTCCAGGCGTTGGAGGTGTTCCTCGAACGTTCGGCTAAAAACGATAATATCGTCTAAATATATGAGGCATGTCTCCCACTGTAGTCCCGCCAGTACCAGTTCCATCAGGCGTTGGAACGTCGCCGGAGCCGCATTTAAGCCCATGGGTAAGCGGTTAAACTCAAAGAGGCCTTGTGGCGTGCGGAATGCCGTCTTGGGTTTCAACGCATCATCGAGGGGGAGCTGCCAAAATCCCGAGGACAGATCGAGGGTGGAGAAGAATTTTGCCCCTGACAAAGCGTCCAATGAGTCATCCATCCGTGGTAAAGGGTATGCGTCCGCCACGGATATCTTATTCAACCGGCGGAAATCTACGCAAAATCTCGTCCCACCATCCTTTTTCTTAACCAGTACCACCGGCGCGCCCCACGGACTTTTGGACGGCGAAATAATATCCGCCGCCAACATCTCGTCTACCGCGCCGCGCACGTGTTCCCTTTCTGCAGGGCTCATGTGATGCGGATGCATACAAATCGGAGGTGTCGCACCGGTGTCAATATGGTGCGACAAAAGTGACGTGCGGCCGAGATCCAAATCATTTTTACTGAAAACGTCAGCATACTGTAATAACAACGAATGCAAAGCAGTCCTCTGCGCGTTTGATAAAGATGAATTTTCCCCGCACAAGTCCGCGATCCACCGTTCCTGCGAACGATCGCGTGGCGGTCCATCGTTGGGTGTTTTAATTTGTGGCTTTCCGTCAAAAGTGGCGAAATCGGTAGTGGCGTGAGCCAACACCGATCCAGCCGGGACAACGACCCGGTCTGGCCCCCCATTCAACACCTGTATGAACGGGAGTGCTGTTAGGTTCCATTGAAATTCCACCTCAAATGATAACGGTTGATTATCTGGTCACCGAAATTTATGGTCAGAACTTGCAACATATGCCTTCCTAAGAACTTGCAAAAAGAGCAATTCTGGCACCTACCAAAAAGGACACTCTCGAAATGAACCAAAACATCATCACACAGCTGTCCGGAGATTTCCGAATTTATTACAGCTCTGACTCGATCGTATCGGAAGATCCTGCAGACGCATTGAATTACCCTCCAGAATTTATTCACAATCAAACGCCTTCAGGAATGCCGCCACACACATTGGCACTGAAGACAGGCGTTATCATCACGCAGCTGCGAAATCTGAACCCGAAGAACGGTCCTTGAAATGGAACGCGTTTGATGGTCAAATCATTACAAAATAACTTCATCACCGCAGATTTTTATCGGAATGCAGAGGCAAAATCGTTTTCATCCCGAGAATCGACTTAGCGCCAAGTAATGTCACTCTTTCTTTCGTACTGAAACGACGACAGATTCTGATAATTCCTGCATATGCGATGACGATCAACAAGTGCCAGGGTCAGACTTTTTAAAATATCGCCATTTATCGCAATGAACCCGTTTTTTCCCATGGACAGTTGTGTAATAACACGCTGGAGACGGCTTGTGGAATCGGTCCTTTTATTTCACTTCTTGCAGTTCACAAACACTCCCGTTGCTGGCAGGCAACGGGAAGCGGGCAGACAGCCACCAGAGACACACTGCCACGTGGCACCCGGAGCCCCACTCGCGCGTGGCCCCTCTCTCTCTTCGTTCCGTGTCTGACCCCGTGTCTCTCCTCTCTCCCATTATTTAATGCCTGGTTCACGTGGTACACTCCAGCCAATCCTCAACAGCCTGCGCTGAATGTTCCAGATCCCCCATCAACTCCCGGGACCACGCCCCTGACTTGTCTTCCCATTGGCTGAGGCCAAGACCAGCGAAACCAATCACCTAGCTGACATCCCCTGATCACGCCGAGGCCATGCTCCCAGGCTCTCCCCCCATTGGCTGTAAAGCGGGACTGTCTCCGCTTCCTGCGCACGGTCGCCTTGCCGCCGGATCAACAGGAGGTGGTTGGCATGAAGAAGAAGGAGGATTTTCGATTTCGGTCGTGTCCAGGGCAGGTCCCGTTGGAGGAGGGACGGCGGGGGTGTCATCAGCCCTCAAAACCTGTTCATCTGCAGGGGGCACAACACAGCCCCTCTGGGGATCAACGGGCGAGGCAAGTGGCATATTCGGCACAGCAGACCCCGGCAGGTCAACAAGTGGAGATGAGGGGTCGGCACGCGGGTCAACGTAGGGTTTGAGTCACGACGAATGGACGTACCCCCGACGTTTTCCGAATTGGACGCGAACACTCTGCGGGTTCCGAATGTCCACCAACGTCACAGGCAACCGGCAAGGCCTGTGCAGTTTAGGGGATGTGCCCACCGGCACCTGAGGGCAGTGGAGCCATGCCAGATCGCCCACCGACCAGGGCATGTGGGTACGCGATCGACGCGCACACCTCTCGTTCCTTGCCTGCGTACGGGCCGTCGCACATCTGGCGGCCTCTCGCGCCTCTGTAACCCATTCAAGCGAGTCCCGTACGTGATCGGGCAAGGAAAGGGACGGCTGTTTCCTCGGCGTACCCAGTTGTACATCAATGGGGGGTACGTTCTCATGACCATACATCAAGAAAAATGGCAAATATCCCGTGGACGCGTGCGGAACCATGCGGTAAGCCGCTAAGACGCCCGGTATGTGCAAGTCCCAATCGGTCTGCTTTTCACTCACCGTGTGACAAAGCATAGCCGAAAGGGTGCGGTTAAATCGTTCCACCATGCCGTCCGTTTGTGGATGGTAAGGGGAAGTGCGGATTTTCTTTGTGCCCAGCTTATCGCAAACATCCTTGAGCAATTTGGAGGAGAAGTTACGTCCCTGATCTGTGAGCAGCCTCTCGGGTGCTCCTTTATCCATGACATAACCATTCACGAAAGCATCGGTAATGGACGCGGCCGTCTGGTCAGGCAGAGGCCAGGCCATAGGCCATCGAGAAAAATATTCTACTCCGACAAGAAGGTATTTGTTGCCCCTAGCCGATGGAGGGAACGGCCCGAGGATGTCCAGAGCAACTAATTCGTTTATACAGGATACCTCAATGGAACGTAATGGCGACACATAATGTTTTCGAGGCGGTTTCCTTTTCGCACAATCATGGCAAGACCGGACAAAGTCCTTGACGTCTGCCGTCATGCCGGGCCAAAAGAAATCCTTCTGCATTGCGGCCAAAGTCTTTTGCACGCCGAGGTGCATTAATTTGTCAGCGTGCAGAGCGTGAAGCAGGTCATGGCAAAGGGATGTAGGCACGACCAGGCGTGGTCGGTCAGACAATCCATCGGTACACATTAATAGTCCCGCCTGGCCCCGGAACATCCGCCACTTCCATCCCGCCAAATGAGCTCTCGGTTTCCCGATCAATTTCCGCAGCGGAGCCAGAGAGGTATCGGCCTCCTACTCGCGTAGCCAAGCCGAGTGCAGCAGCCGCAGGGTATCATCAGTATCCACTGGCACATCCTGGCCATCCTAGTTCGACATCGCCCCCATAACCGGACAGGGCGAGGTAAGCGGCACTCCGCAGCGGTGCATAGCCATCAGACAAGTGCACGGAGGAATGGGTGGTAACCTGGAGAGCACGTCCGCGTTGGCGTGGCGAGCACCCTTGCGGTACGTGCTATCGAAGGAAAATTCCTGTAACGAATCCAACCACCGAGCCAATTGGCCTGATGGTTGGTCCAATTTCAACGAGTATTGCAAAGCCGCATGATCAGTGCGAACGAGGAATTTCCTTCCATACAGGTATGGCCGGTACAGGCGAACAAAATGCACGATCGCCAAAAGTTCCCATCCTGTCACGCAATATCGTGTTTCTGCCGGGGACAGAACCCTGCTGCCGTATGCAACCACTCGTTCCACTCCGTCTTTACGTTGCGATAAAACGGCCCCGATGCCAATATCGCTAGCATCAGTGTCAAGGATGAACGGCTAGGAAAAGTCTGGGTAGTCGAGCGTAGGCGCCATGGCGAGGTGATCCCGGAGCGAGTGAAAAGAGCGTTCTTCCTCCGGACCCCATTTAAACCTCTGATTTTTGCCCGTCAGAATATGCAGTGGTTTAGCCAGTGTGGCAAAGTTCTTAACAAACCGGCGATAGTAGGATGCAAATCCAATAAAGCGCCGAACGTCGCCCACTGAAGTGGATGTAGGCCACTCCCGGACACATCACGTTTTCTGAGGGTCAGTGGACACGCCGTCCAAACTGACAATATGACCCAAGTAACGGATGGAGTGTTGCAAAAGGTGGCATTTACTGGGTTTAAACTTTAGATCAGCCGACCGCATCCTCTGAAAGACAGTCTCCAGGCGTTGGAGGTGTTCCTCGAACGTCCGGCTAAAAACGATAATATCGTCTAAATATATGAGGCATGTCTCCCACTGTAGTCCCGCCAGTACCAGTTCCATCAGGCGTTGGAACGTCGCCGGAGCCGCATTTAAGCCCATGGGTAAGCGGTTAAACTCAAAGAGGCCTTGTGGCATGCGGAATGCCGTCTTGGGTTTCAACGCATCATCGAGGGGGAGCTGCCAAAATCCCGAGGACAGATCGAGGGTGGAGAAGAATTTTGCCCCTGACAAAGCGTCCAATGAGTCATCCATCCGTGGTAAAGGGTATGCGTCCGCCATGGATATCTTATTCAACCGGCGGAAATCTACGCAAAATCTCGTCCCACCATCCTTTTTCTTAATCAGTACCACCGGCGCGCCCCACGGACTTTTGGACGGCGAAATAATATCCGCCGCCAACATCTCGTCTACCGCGCCGCGCACGTGTTCCCTTTCTGCAGGGCTCATGCGATGCGGATGCATACCAATCGGAGGTGTCGCACCGGTGTCAATATGGTGCGACAAAAGTGACGTGCGGCCGAGATCCAAATCATTTTTACTGAAAACGTCAGCATACTGTAATAACAATGAATGCAAAGCAGTCCTCTGCGCGTTTGATAAAGATGAATTTTCCCCGCACAAGTCCGCGATCCACCGTTCCTGCGAACGATCGCGTGGCGGTCCATCGTTGGGTGCTTTAATTTGTGGCTTTCCGTCAAAAGTGGCGAAATCGGTAGTGGCGTGAGCCAACACCGATCCAGCCGGGACAACAACCCGGTCTGGCCCTCCATTCAACACCTGTATGAACGGGGCCTGACCCGGCCGTACGATTGTTTGGGCTGCCACCAAGGAAAAAGATTTAGACACCGAATTCGACGGGGATAATGACACACCCATCGTACCATCCTTAACCTGAAGGGGTTTACGGTAACGCAGCGGGATAAGCATTTGTGAGCCTGATGGAACTTCTATTGTGGCAGCGACCATGGCGTTAACAGCGTTACCCGGTGGCGAACGGGCCAGCAGGGAAGGCAGGAACGACATCCTACGACCCCCCAGCATTTCTAAACAATCCTGGTCGACCAGTATCTTAAGTGGCATGCGGCGCAAGAAATCGGTGCCTAATAGGCATGGGACGGCCAGTGAGCGCGAGATCAACACCGATCCTTCGGCGGTAATATTACCGATAGCAATACGCACTTCGACTTGACCGAAAATACCCATGCTACCCCCATTTGCGGCTACACACGCGTCATTAACCCGGCGGATTCGCGACGTGGGAATAGACAAAAGATGAAAAATAACATCTGAAATGATGGTGGCAGACGCGCCAGTGTCCACCAAAATCCGGACGTCGATGCGGTCGATGGTACCCCGTACCGTCGACGAACCCGACGCCGCAGCCACAACCCTATGAGCCAATTTTTTCCATTGTGTAGTAGAGCGTGGTAATGACTCCGAAGAATCACAATTATCATTGGAAGTGCAACTATGTGTGCGAGTGGATGAATGATGTGACACGACCTGCCGAGTGTCCGATTTGCGCCGACTCGCCTGAAGGTGTCGCGGCTCCGCGCCCGGTGGAGGAGATGGAGGCCCACTCGGCGGAAGCGGCGAAGGCAGAGGTCGGTAGCGGCAGTCACGGGCAAAATGGCCTCGTCGGCCACACTTGAAGCATGTGGCCGTCGTCGACCGGCGGTCGGTCGACCCAGCCCCTGCACGTGGTCGGCTTGCGTAGTCACCACTCCGGTCGTGCAGCCGCTGTCTCGGGGTCAAGTGCGGAACAGCAGCCACCACCTCGTCGTCGCTGGAGTCGTCGGAGCAGTGGATGACCCGTCGTGGAGACCACCCTAAAGGTGGGCCGTCGATTTCGGGATTCCCCGTCCATGCCGCCATCTGATCCCAGCGCTTGATGTTAAATTTAGCATCCAAGCAGCGCGCCACCCATCGCGATATAAGCGGTTCGTGGCCGCATACCGGCAGCGAGATGTTGAGTTCCTGGGACAGCTCCAGCATACGGGAAAGGATGAGAGGATCAAAGTGATCAGCCGTCGCGTCGGGGTAAGCGGCCATGGCCAACGCCACCAACACCCCCCGATAAGCCAAAGGCGACTCCTCTGATCCTCGACGACGTGACATAAATCTTCTCGTGGCTGCCGTCGGTGGGTCGTAAAACTCCGCCATATCTGCGAAAGCATGACGAAGCGTCTTCTTCTTGGACGCCGTGATGGATCGGAAGACCGCCAGGGAAACATCGTCCAGCAGCGTGGGCAGCGCTCCCAGCGCCTCCGCCTCCGTCCATCGCACTGATCTGAAGGCCGACTCAAAGCACCTACGTAAAAGCACTCCAATCGCCCCCGGTGATAAATTCCTTAATCTGTGGAAGCCGATGTCCGCGGTGGCAGGCAGACGCCTCGAGCGTCTCCACTTGCGCTTCCCGCGTTCTGCGCGTCTCCAACAAAATGGCGTCCGGCGGCCATGTGGTGTCAGCCTCACGCAAGATGGCGTCGCAAGGCTCCGTCGCCGCCGCCCCGCCCAAGATGGAGGCCTCCCCCCGCGTGGCAGGAGCAATGGCGGACGTCGTTTCCCGCCGAAGTTCCTGGTCCTCGGCATTTAGCTGAACCGCAGGCGGCCGACCCAGGCCCGTAGAGGACGCGACCGCCGTCACCAGATTGAGCAGAATCGTGCGGAGCGACTCGATTTGCTCTGCCATCAGCCGCCATCCTTCGTCCGCCCTTGAGGTGGTTGCCTCTTCCTCCCATGGGCGATGAGCGGCGTCGAGGAGAGCGGCAGTCGGAGGCAGAGGAGCCGTAGCTCCTAACAGCTCGTCGTCGTCCGTCTCCACAACTTCCTCCGATGGAGGGTCGGGTGAGTTCTTCTTTCTGAGGTGCTTGGACATCTTGAAGATCGTCCAAACGGTCCCAGAATAACTTCTGACACCAATGTAATAACATGCTGGAGACGGCTTGTGGAATCGTTCCTTTTATTTCACTTCTTGCAGTTCACAAACACTCCCCGTTGCTGGCAGGCAACGGGAAGCGGGCAGACAGCCACCAGAGACACACCGCCATGTGGCACCCGGAGCCCCACTCGCGCGTGGTCCCTCTCTCTCTTCGTTCCGTGTCTGACCCCGTGTCTCTCCTCTCTCCTCTTATTTAATGCCTGGGTCACGTGGTACACTCCAGCCAATCCTCAACAGCCTGCGCCGAATATTCCAGATCCCCCATCAACTCCCAGGACCACGCCCCTGACTTGTCTTCCCATTGGCTGAGGCCAAGACAAGCGTAACCAATCACCTAGCTGACATCCCGTGATCACGCCGAGGCCATGCTCCCAGGCTCTCCCCCCATTGGCTGTAAAGCGGGACTGGCAAAGCCGATCACCACGTGAATCCGGCATCCTATCAGACGATGGATACCCCTTCGACTTCGCAGCCTGACTCCGTAAGGCCCCAAGCGAGTCATCGAGCAATTGCTCACGAACCCACACAGAACGTGGCAAATTCAAAACCCCATCGGCCGGTTCCGGACACGTGGAAGCCGCGGGCATCTCCACAGCAGACACGACAGGCCGCGGGGGGCTGTGGAACCCACGTGCACCTATTCGTGCCAGAGGCACAGGCGCAGGTGGATCCCTACGGCAATCTGGAAAGCGCGTCCGCATTAGCGTGACGCGAGCCCTTACGGTATTGAACATCAAACAAGAACTCCTGCAAAGTTTCCAGCCATCGTGTCAGCTGGTCAGATAGCTGGTCAACTTTCAGAGAATATTGCAAAGCCACATGGTCCGTGCGCACAATGAATTTGCGGCCTCGCGATCGTAGCAAAATTTGGAACGAATCTGCGGTAATAGGAAGCGAACACAACAAATCGACGTACGTCTCCCACCATGGCCAGAGTCGGCCAGTCCCAAATGCACGCCGTTTTGTCCGGGTTCGTGGCCACACCATCAGGGCTGACAATGTGACCCAAATAGCGCACGGAGCGTTGCAAAAGGTGGCACTTCTTGGGCTTAAATTTCAAATTGGTGGAACGCACCCTAGCAAAAACAGCATCCAATCTCTGAAGATGCTCCTCAAACGTGCGGCTGAAAACAATAACGCCGTCCAAATATATCAGGCACGTGTCCCACTGCAGGCCGGTCAACATGAGTTCCATCAACCTTTGGAACGTAGCAGGGGTGGTGTTCAAACCCATGGGGAGACAATTAGACTGAAACAGGCCCTGCGGCGTACGGAAAGCCATCTTTTCCCTCGACGATTCGTCCAGGGAGAGCTGCCAGAACCCCGAAGAGAGATCAAGAGTCGAAAAAAATTTCGCCCCAGACGAGGCATCGAGGGAATCATCCATACGCGGCAGGGGGTAAGCGTCTGCAACCGACACTTTGTTTAACCTCCGAAAAGCAACACAAAACCGCAGGCTACCATCCTTTTTCTTTACCAGGACCACCGGAGCGCCCCATGTTCTGTTGGATGGAGAGATAATGTCGGCGGCCAGCATATCATCTACTGCGCCGCGGACATTATCCCTCTTTGCTGGGCTCAACCGATGCGGATTCATCCGAATGAGACTAGCATCCCCGGTATTAATGTGATGGGAGAGAAACGAGGTGCGTCCCAGATCGAAATCATCTTTGCTAAAGACGTCAGAATATTTGTACAGCAGCGCGCGAAGCGCGGACCGCTGGTACGTAGTCAGGGATGCGTTTTCCTGACACAACCCGGCGATCCATCGATCGTCCTGCGATGTCGAGGCCGAAACCCCCGCCACGAGGCCCTGGTGACCAGGATCATCATGGGCCGTGAAGGCGGTCGTGGCATGGGCCAGGACTGTACCGGCCGGCACCACAACATTGTCCGCGCCTCCGTTTAAAGCTGGCAAAAAAGGAGGCTGACCCGGCTGAACAATCGTCCGGGCTGCGACCAGTGCCAGGCCACCCGTAACAGCGTTGGACGGTGACAATAACACACCCGCCGCCCCCTCAACCCCAGGCACGGGCTTCCGATAGCGCAGCAGAATGAGCATCTGCGAGCCCGGCGGAATGTCGACCGAAACGTCGGACAGGGTGGACCGGCCCCACGGCGATGGCAAAAAGAAAATCTTCCGGCCCGCCGGTAACTCAATACAACCCTGATCGACCCTCATCTTCGCCAGGAAATCGGTCCCCAATAAGCAAGGCACAGCAAGGGACCTGGAAATCAACACCGTCCCCGAAGCCGACACATCCCCAACAGAAATGCGTGCCTCCACCTGACCCACGATGCCCATACTCCCCCCATTAGCAGCAACACATGAATCGAAAACTGGTCGTACCTGCGACAGCGGAATGGATAGGAGATGGAATATAACGTCCAAGATGATAGTGGCGGACGTGCCCGAATCAACCAAAATCCGCACGTCAATCCCCTGTATCAAGCCCGGCACGGTCGAAGACCCAGTTGCGGCTGTGACCACCCTGCGAGCCAGTTTCCGCCACTGTGTCATCATCCGACGCGGATCCCTTAGAGTCCCCCCATTAGAACAGGCCCCCGGAATGCACTCCGATGGTGATGAATGAGATGACAGGCCTTGCCGGGTGTCTGATGCGTACCGACTTGCCTGACATGGGTGACTCTTCGACGTGGATGGCGCGTCCCTGGTCGGGGACTCCGAGCGAAGAGGTGGACGAGGGCGACTCCGGCATTCACAGGTGAAATGTCCAAGACGTCCGCAGCGGTAACTAGCCAAGTTGGCCCGCCGACCGGCTCCCCCGGCGTCCCGGCGATCCATCGACGAGGGCCCCGAGCGCGACACCGCTCCCCCTCGAGGAACCCACTGGGCCGCCGCCACAGTGAGATCGCCAGGCCCCCTCTCGTCCGGGATGAAGACGGCCTTCAACGGTGTCCAACCGACGGCGTCTCCCTCCACGGTCAGAACCCCTGTCCAGGCGGCCATTTGCACCCAACGGCGCAAGTTGAACTGCGCGTCAAGGCACTTGGCAGCCAACCGGGAGGTCAGCTGCTCGTGGCCGCACACGGGCAGCGGAATGCCCAGGTCCTTGGGCAGCTCCAACATCTTACCCAGTATCAAGGGCTCCAACAAGTCGGGCTCGGTCTCGGGATACGCGGCCATGGCCAGCTCAACCACAGCGCCTCGGAAGGCCACAGGTGATTCCTCCAGCGCCCATTGTCTCTGGACAAATCTACGGTGTGCGTCGTCCGGAGGCTCGTATGCTTCCGCCATCTCGTCGAACGCCCCTTTCAGCGTCACCTTCTTCGCAGCGGCGATGGAGCGGAAAAATTTCAAGGACTTGTCGTCCAGGAGCGTTGGCAAAACCTCCAAGGCCTCCGCATCCGTCCACTTGGCGGATCGGACAGCCGACTCAAAACGCCAAGCGAATGCACTCCAATCCCCTCCGACTGTAAATTCTTTAATAGTCGTCAGACGGTGGCTGCGAGTCCCCGAGCTGCTGTCATCCGAAGCGGGCGCCCCACGTGGCGGTGACACGATGGCGGCTTCCCGCCATTCAGTCGTGGCCACGCCCAAGATGGCGGCGACCTGCCGCGTGTCGGGAAAGGCGGGAAGCCACGCAGAGGCCGCAATGGCAGATGGCTCGGCCCCACCCGAAGTTTCCCCCCGTAAAGGACCGATGCGTGGCTGTCCCAGCCTCGTCGCTGGCGCGACCAGGGTAACCAAATCCAGCAAAACGGCCCGTAGCGAATCAATTTGCTCCGCCACAAGCCGCAAGCCGTCCTCGTCGCCCGTCGACGCAGACGGCCCGGCTGCCGCGACGACATCTTGTACCCCTGTCGTGTCGCTCGCCGCCGCTTCGCCTGTGCCCTCCGTGGTCGGGACCGCCACTGCCAGAGGAAGGTCCTCTTCGTTCTCTGAAGAAGGCGTAGGCAGATTCTTCTTCTTGAGATATTTTGACATCTCGAAGCACTTCTGACCCCAATGTAATAAAAAAACTTCGTCAGGCAATGCTGGTCTCCGTTGGTCTTTTATTTAGTTTCCTCCTCGCACCCCGCTAGTCCTGACCGCGGATCAGCGTCTCCTCGCACGCGCCCCGCACGCGCTCCCTCGTCAGCTCCTCTCCTCGCGCGCGCCCCGCACGCGCTCCCCCTCGAGCTCCTCCGCTCTTCCTCGCACCCCACTGGTCCTGACAGCGGACCAGCGTCTCCACGCGTGCTCCTCCAACAGCTTCTCCGCTCCCCCACTCTGCACACTGCTGGCCGACGGCGTGCCGAAGATCCTTCAGCCACGTGGCCGATGGCGCAGATCCCCTCCAGCCACCCAACGTGGCTCAGCCTCTTTACTCCCGCAACTGACCCCAATCCCTTCCGGGCTCTCACCTATATCCTCTTTACCACGTGACCCTGACTCCTCCTCTTCCGGATCGTCAGATCCGGCCATCCCATACTGCCCTGCAGGCTCCACCCCCATTCACCTCGCTTCCAATTGGACCCGAGGTGACCGGCGGCCCCTCCCACACGCCCCCCATACTGGGCTCCACCCCCCAATACCCCGGGCCGTGTAATTGGGCCAGAGCCCAGCAGCGAACCCCGTTTACACTCGCATTACACATGCATGAGAATACTCAAGATGCCATGACGTACATCAGCCAATATGCCACGCCCCAACTC